CACATCATAGTTTAGGAAAAGAGTTTACGGGGTTTTTTTCTTGTCAAAAAATTTCTGGTTTGATTTTTTTTTTTACTAGGGTGACCCTCTTGGAAAAAAAAAAATCCTGGATCCGCGTCTGATTATTTGAAAATTCACATAAATATCAACATAAATATGAAAATTTATTCAAATATGTGTGGCAGCTGGCAGTAAGCAGATGACAGTTGGCAGTAAGCAGTCAGCAGTTGGCAGTAAGCAGTTGGCTGTCGTATATGGCATTCCATAAGAAACAGACTTTGACAATTCAGCATTTATGTATTGTCTGAGAGAAAATTTCTTACCTACTTACCGACTCATAATTTTTTCATCTGAGTGGGGAGAAGGCAGAAAGACAAGCTCTCCTCAAATTAATTTCATAATTAAACCCCCACATTTTTGTTGCACCAACCTTTCCTATAGAATTTTGAACTGTACTTAAATCAACACAACATTGGGATGCTGTAAGATGAAAAATAAGCCCTGCCTAGTTCTGAAGGAAAATTTGATCTTCAATTGTAGCCTCACAGTTACCAAAATCTGAAGGGGAATCCACGCAACTTAGAAATTTCTGCGTATATCATTAGATTACTATACCCTAGCAGGCATGTAGCAGCTTTTGCATAAACATGTACTAAATGCAGATGTGCACACTTCAGTATTTAAAAAAAAAAGATTTTTAAAGAAGCTTACTTTGATCAATGTAATCTATAAGTAGGGCAAATCCTACGCTTAATTTTTTATGCTCCGCCATGAATATGGCCAGGGCATATAGTGTTTGTCATGTTCGTCTTTCGTCCTTCCGTCACTCTTTGCGTTTAGCTCCAAAGCTAAGTTTCAAAGAAACCACTCGAGATAATTTTATCAAACTTCATATGCTGTAAGATATTGATGAGAGCTATGCAATTGCATCCACATTTTTTGACCTTGACTTTTCCTTTGACCTTGACCTCATTTTTTAAAAAAATAGTGTTTAGCTCAGTTTTAAAGGTACCATTCAAGATAGTGTGATAAAACTTCATATATTAATACATACTGATGTAAGTTATTCAAATGATCAACATTTTTTGACCTTGACCTTTCCTTTGACCTTGACCTCACTTTACTTAAATTAGTGATAAAATCAGTTTTAAAGATACCATTCAGGATTGTGTAATCAAACTTCATATGTTGATACATACTGATGTAAATTATTCAAATGCATCTACATATTTTGACCTTGACCTTTTTAAACCTTGACCTCACTTTTCTTGGGTTAGTGTTTAGCTCAGTTTAAAGACACAATGCAAGATAGTATAATCAAACTTCATATGTCGATACATTCTGATGTAAGCTATTCAAATGTATCAACATTTTTGACCTTGACCTTTCCTTGACCTTGATTAGTGATAAGCTTAGTTTTAAAGATACCATTCAAGATCGTGTAATCAAACTTCATATGTGGATACATACTGATGCAAGTTTTTCAACTGCATCAACAACTTTTGACCTTGTACTTTCCTTTGACCTTGACCTCTCTTTTCTTAGATAAGTATTCAGAACAGTTTTAAATAAACCATTAAAGATATTTTAATAAACATAATTTGCTGATACGCATTAGTGGGAGCTATTCAATTGCATCAAAAACTTTTGACCATGCACTTTCCTGTAAACTTGATCTCCCTTTTTTTTAATTTGTATTTTGCTTAGTTTTAAAGAAACCATTTAAGATTGCCACTTTTCCTAAGTATTAAGAACAAGAGGCCCATGGGCCTTATAGGTCACCTGAGCATCATGCAACAAATTTCAAATGATTGACTTTGGTTCATGTTTTAAGCCAGATGCTATGGCATTCACAATTTTGAAAGAGGCACCATTGCTAATCATACCTATACACTTAGCAATTGTTCAGTTTGCTTGCTTAATACTCATAAGCAGGATAGGGAAACAAAAATGCATGACAACTAATCAGTAATATTCAGCAATAATCAGGAGTGCCCCTATCACACATGAACCCCTGACCCTAGGTCTACACATTGCACAATTTTTGAAGAGGCACATTTGCTTATCAAAAATGTTTGATTAATACCAAGACAAGGTGCAGATTTCAAACAATTCATTTTCAGTGTATAAGTAGACCCCCCCCCCCCTCTTTGGTATCCCTGACCCAGGGGCCTTGAAATTCACAATTCTGGAGGAAGAGCCCTTGCACATCATAAAATTATAAACAGTTTATCTGTTTATTACCCAGAAGTGGTAGAGAAAAAGATTTTCATAAATGCAATGTATTTTCACTATATAGTCATTATAGAGCCACACCCTAACACCATAACCCCTGACCATTGGGCCATAAAATTCGCAATTTTGGTAGAAGCATTCTTGCTCATCATAACTATGTCCTTAATTAGTTTATTTAACACCCAGAAGCAGAGAAGAAACTTTTCAAAGAATAAATGCATTTTCACTTTATAATCAGTAGAGCCCCGCCTTCAAACCAGAATCCCTGACCCCGGGGCCATAAAATTCACAATTTTGGTAGAGGCACTCTTGCTCATCATAACTATATACTTAGTAAGTTTATTTGATACCCAGGAGCAGAGAAGAAGATTTTCAGAGATTTAATGCATTTTCACTATATAATCAATAGAGCCCCGCCCTAACACCAGAATCCCTGACCCAGGGGCCTTGAAATTCACAATTTTTGTAGAGACACCCTTGCTCATAACTACGTACTTAATTAGTTTATTTAATACTCAGGAACAGAGAAGAAGATTTTCAAAGAAATAATGCATTTTCACTATATAATCAATAGAGCCCTGCCCTAACACCATAACCCCTGACCCTGGGGCCAAAAAATTCACAATTTTGGTAGAGGCACTCTTGGTCATCATAACTATGAACTTAATTAGTTTATTTAATACCCAGGAACAAAGAAGAAGATTTTCAAAGAATTAATGCTTTTTCACTATATAATCAATAGAGCCCCACCCTAACACCAGAACCCCTGACCCTGGGGCCATGAATTTCACAATTTTGGTAGAGGACTCAATGCTGATTACAATCATACCAACAGTTTGACTGCTTGATGTCCAGGAGTAAAGAAGAAGATTTTTAACAAGAGGCCCATGGGCCTTATAGGTCACCTGAGCATTATGCAATGTTTTAAGCCAGATGCTATAGCAATCACAATTTTGAAAGAGGCACCATTGATCATTATAACAATACATTTAGCAGTTGCTTAGTTTGGTTACTTAATACCCAAAGGCAGGGTAGGGGAGCAAACAATGCATGTCAACTAATCAGTAGTGCCTCTTTCACACATGAACCCCTGACCCTTAGGCCTAGATCCACACATTGCATAATTTTTAAAAAAGCATCCTTGCTTTTCAAAAATATTTGATTAATACCAAGGAGCAGATTTCAAACAATTCATTCATTTTCACTATATAAGTAACCCCCCCCCTCCCGGTCTATGGTACCCCTGACCCAGGGGCCTTGAAATTCACAATACTGGAAGATAAGGACCCTTGCTCATCATAACTATATAGGTATGTTCACATGCGTGATACCTAGCAGCAGAAAGGAAAATTTTCAAAGAATTCATGTATTTTCACTATAATATCAATAGAGCCCGCCCAAACACCAGAAATCTGACCCTGGGGCCATAAAATTCACAATTTTGGAAGAGGCATTCTTGTTCATCATTACTATACACTTAGTTAGTTTATTTAATACCTAGGAGCAGAGAAGAAGATTTTCAAAGAATTCATGTATTTTCACTATATAATCTATAGAGCCCCACCCTAACACCAGAACCCCTGACCCTGGGGCCATTAAATTCACAATTTTGGTAGAGGCACTCTTGCTCATTATAACTATGCACTTAGTTTATTTATTTAATACCCAGGAGCAGAGGAGAAGATTTTCAAAGAAATAATGCATTTTCACTATACACTTATTTAGCCCCGCCATAGCACTAGAACCCCTGACCCCAGGGCTATGAATTTCACAATTTTGGTAGAGGACTCAATACTGATTACAATCATGCTAACAGTTTGACTGCTTGATCTCCAGGAGTAAAGAAGAACATTTTCAAAGATTGCACTAATTTTAGTGGTTTTGGCCCCACCCCTCAGGCCCCAGGGGGGCAGGGATCATGAAATTCACAATTTTTGTCCCCCTTCACCCATAGATGCTTTGTGCCAAACTTGGTTGAAATTGGTTCAATGGTTGCAGAGAAGAAGCTGAAAATGTTCAAATGTTAACGGACGACACACGACGACGTACGAAAACAGATAGCAATAGGTCACCTGAGTTTACTCAGGTGACCTAAAAATTGCACTAATTTTAGTGGTTTTTGCCCCACCCCCCAGGCCCCAGGGGGGCAGGGACCATGAAATTCACAATTTTTGTTCCCCTTCACCCACCGATGCTATATGCCAAAATTGGTTGAAATTGGTTCAGTGGTTTCAGAGAAGAAGCTGAAAATGTTCAAATGTTAACGCACGACGAACAGGTTTACTCAGGTGACCTAATAAAATTAAAATTTGTGAAAATGCAAGGATGTGTCAATCAAACCCGTCTCAAAATTTTAAGTTTTAATAACTTTTAGATGAATAAGAATTTTAATATATTTTTGTGTGAAATGCTGTTAAAATATTTAAGTCGTAATATTATACAGAAAATATTAACTTCAAATCTGTGTCCATGCACCTTTAAATGCATCATCCATGTTAATTTCGTTCAGGAAGGATATTCACTCCTCTAAAATATGTAGGTTAGATCCAGATTCTGGAGCATCATCTCCTCCTTGGTATAATTAAGACTTATAGTTACTTTCAAATGGACTTGTACCAAAATCCTGTTCACTAATCTGGAAAATGGTCGGAATCAGATGCAAGCAAGATAGTGTGCATCCTTAGATGTATCATCCATGGAAAGTTTAATCAATATAGGGCTTATTGTTTCCTGGAAATGAAACTTGCCCCAAATTATAAAGAATGTGAACAGAAAAATCTTTATTATTTTCAGGCAAATTACACACAGTGTGAATGCAACATTTTATTCAGCTTTGCTTTTTATAAAACAATCGTAATGAATGGTCAACACACTATATCTGCAGACAAGGAACTATGGAAAAATCACTGTAAAAGTAAATTGTACAAGTTGCTGCCCTTTGCATAGTAACATATTTTGTTGCTTGTCTTTTACAGAGTTTAAAACACAGTATTATATGTTTACATGTATAAACCAGCATTGTTTCATGACAGGTTTACTATGCTCAAAATAAAATATGAAAACTGTATCTTCAAAATTTACAAAAATATGAAAATGTGTCTTCAAAATTCATATTACTCTAATAAACATGTCACATAACTGTGTGTTTAAACTGACTTATAAAATTAATTTTTCTGTTGTCATCTATAATGACACTGAGGAAGAGAGTGGAGATATGATCATTATCACAATTTCTCCTATCACTTGACTATATGGTCAACCTGACTGCAACACTTTGACTATAAGGTCTTCTTTGCCTTGAAGGACTTTGTGACATTGATTTGTTTTCCAGAAACTTTTGCTGGGATGTATAAGGACTACACAGCTTGTGATAGTTTCTTCTCTAATCTACAGATACTGGTAATGACTCTGCTGCCCCAGCATCAAACCGTCTTTGGCTGAAATAAAAAATGGAATTTAAAAAAAAAACTCAGCTATGCAGTTCATTGAAAAAGAAGAGTAGACAATTATCTGGAAAAAGAGAAATGACATGTACAGCTAACCTGATGTGAACACTAGACTGTTTATTTGCAGAGGTCCATGTCAGCTGACTTTTGCTTGGCACAGAGGGATGGTAAAAACTGCAGGTGGGTTTATTCATGCACTTGATTCCAAATCGACATGGCTGAAACACAATTAGAAAAACTTAAATGATAACTAATGCACAAATCACAAGTATGCATCACAAAAATCATGAACAATGCCTTAAGATAAGTTCATTCTGAAAAAATTCTTAAGTCCACCTTCTAATTTTGATCTGAGCGACTGCAGGGTAAAACAGAACTTTAAAAATGAAAAAAAAAAATCATCTTCAAATTCATTGTGGACCTTTAATCTCCTCAATACAATTGTTTTACATCTTTTCTACAACAAAGATAATCCTACCAGGATTTCAATGTCTGCTACTATAGTTCAAGATTTTTGTTACAACAGGGCATTTATCTCAGTACTGGACAGAGACCCGTGACCCTACCTTGGGGTGATAAAAGGTACACTGGACATTACTGCAGTTAGGGAAGAACCTGCAGGTGATGGGTGTATTGGTAGGGGCTCCCTTGTTAAATGTGGATCCATAAGAAGCTGCCATTGGAACTGGGACTTGGACAACTGAAGAGAAAGAGTTTTCTTTGATATTGAAGCCAATTATACACACATTGATAACACTACTAAGTCCAAAATGTACTGACATTCCCATTTTTTACTGACAAACTTAGAAAATTACTGACAATGTGCTGTCTTTACTGAAAAATTTAGACAATTACTGACCTTTTTACTGCCGGTGCTGATAAACTTAGAAAAGTGCTGATAATCTTAGTCGGTGCTGATAAACTTAGACAATTACTGACCCGTTTACTGTCCCTGCTGAAAAACTTAGACAAGTGCTGACATTTACTGATAATTACTGTCCCTATTGTTCTCGCTCTCGGGGAGGCTGCAGAGGTGTGAAAATGATTTTTTTATGATAATATTTTCATGTATTATTTTTAATAAATGATTTC